TACTTTATAAATATTGAAATTAGTATATTTAATGTACTCACTTAGTATATTATTTCCTCTTCATTTTATTCAATTAATTTCATACACTCTTATCTCCTTCATTCGCTTGTCCGTGAACCCCACACTCTGTCACTCTTGATTCACGCCTTTAATCCTAATAAAGGAGAAAGAATATAGTGAACGGGCCACAAATGAAGATAATATTAATACGGCCCGTGCGTATACTATAAGCCCTTTAGCATTCAACCAATGATTTTCACCCCTATGAAAATGGGCCATTAAACCATTAAACCATTAAACGAGTAAGCAAATAAACCATTAAACCAATGGTTTCCCCCCATGACAATAGGCCATTAAACCACTAAGCCAGATTTTCATAGGGGGGGAAATGATTGATTCAATGGTTTAGTGGTTTACTGGTTCAAGGGAGATTCGCAAAGGAGGGAAATTATTGGTTTTACGATTCAATGGTTTAAGGATCCTCATAGGGGCGGGAAATGATTGGTTTAATGGTTGAATAGTTTGCTGTTTTTTATTGTTTAAGGGGGATTCTCATATGGGGGAAGTGATTGGTTTAATGGTTCAATGGTTTAAGGGGGATTCTCATTCAATGGTTTAATGGTTTATTGGTGTATTGGTTGAATGGTTTAATGGCTTAATGGTTTAGGGGGATTCTTATATGGGGGACATGAATGGTGTAATGGTTTAATGGTTTAATAAATGTGAGGGAATGTGTGAAAACCCAGAAAAACCCTCTGTAGGCGATGACTCGTGTATATATATATATATATGTATGTGTTTGTTTGACTCTGTGTGTGCGTGTGCGTGTGCGTGTGCGTGTGTGCGTGTGTGCGTGCGTGCGTGCGTGCGTGCGTGCGTGCCTGCGCGTGCGCGTGCGCGTGCGCGTGCGCGTGCGCGTAGCGCGTCGCGCTTGCCGTGTGGCGTGTGCGTGTGCGTGTGCGTGTGCGTCCGTGTGCGGTGCGTGTGCGTGGCGTGTGCTGCGTGTGCGTCGTGTGCGTGCTGTGCGTGCTGTGCGTGCTGTGCGTGGCGTGCGCGTGCGTGCGCGTGCGTGCGCGTGCGTGCGTGTGCGTGCGCGTGCGTGCGCGTGCGTGCGCGTGCGTGCGTGTGCGTGCGTGTGCGTGCGTGTGCGTGCGTGTGCGTGCGTGTGCGTGCGTGTGCGTGCGTGTGCGTGCGTGTGCGTGCGTGTGCGTGCGTGTTCGTGCGTGTGCGCGCGTGTGCGTGCGTGTGCGTGCGTGTGCGTGTGCGTGTGCGTGCGTGTGCGTGCTTGTGCGTGCGTGTGCGTGCGTGTGCGGGCACGTGCGTGCGTGCGCGTGCTTGCGTGTGCGTGCGGTGCGTTCGTGTACGTGCGTGTTCGTGCGTGTGCGTGCGTGTGCGTGCGTGTGCGCTGCGTGTGCGTGCGTAGTGCGTGCGTGGCGTTGCGTGTGCGTGCGGTGGGTTCCTGGTGGTGTGTTGTGTGTGGTGTGTTGTGTTGTGGGTGCGTTCCGTGCGTGCGGTGCGTGCGTGCGTGCGTGCGTGCAGTGCGTGCGTTGTAGTGCGTGCTGCGTGCGTGCGTTCGTGTGTTGTGTTTGTGTGTGTTGTGTGGTGTTGTGTGTGTGTTGAGTGTGTTGGTTTGTTCGTGTGTGGTGTGTGTTTGTTGGTGTGTGTGTTGTGATGTTGGTTTCGGTGTGTGTGTGTGTGTTCGTGTGTGTGTGTGTGTGTGTTCGTGTGTGTTCGTGTTGTTCGTGTGTGTCGTGGTGTTCGTAGTGTGTCGTGTGTTGTGTTCGTGTTAGTGTGTGTGTGTGTGTGTGTGTGTGTGTGTGTGTGTGTGTGTGTGTGTGTGTGTGTGTGTGTGTGTGTGTGTGTGCGTGTGTGTGTTCGTGTGTGTGTTCGTGTGTGTGTTCGTGTGTGTGTTCGTGTGTGTGTTCGTGTGTGTGTTCGTGTGTGTGTTCGTGTGTGTTCGTGTGTGTGTTCGTGTGTGTTCGTGTGTGTGTGTTCGTGTGTGTTCGTGTGTGTTCGTGTGTGTTCGTGTGTGTTCGTGTGTCGTGTGTCGTGTGTCGTGTGCGGTGTGTTTTCGCACATATACATATATGCATATAATTATATATGTACACATGTGTCTTTGTGTGTGTGTGTGTGTCCTCCAGGGGGCTTCAATCAAGACTTATTCGGGGTATGGGGGCTGCAAATCCTTGGTGCTCCGCCAAGGGGTGGGCTCCTGATCGTGCTCTGCATCTTCCTTCTGCCTCGAAGCTTTCGGCTGAAGTTTTGTTTTTGGGAGTTTTTGTTGCTTTGGCTTTGGGCGTTCGGGCTTCAGATTTTCAAAGGGCTTTGGGTGGTTTAGGGTTTAACGGCTTTGGGGGGGCTGGCTTCAGGCTTCGGTGGGGGAAGGTTGGGGTGGGCAGTGCCTTGGGTTTAGGGCTCAGGGCGCTCTAACTTGAACCAGGCCCGCAGAAACCCCAAAACTTTAAACCTAAACTTTAGACCCTCAACTCTAAACCCTAAACCCTAAACCCTAGACCCTAAACTCAACATCCTAAAGCCCTAGTCGCCACCAGCGGTTTGGGGCAAAATGGTCGAGAATCAAGACTGGGTCTCCCACACTGGACCCTTTTTCGCCTTCTTTTTTTTTTTTTTTTCGGGGCGGGTGGGGGGGGGGGTGGGGGGGGGGTGAGGGTGGGTGGGGGGGTGGGGGTGGCGGGGGGGGGGAGGGGGGGGCCCTTAAACGGCTACCTAAGACTTTTAGGGTTTCGGGTTTAGCGTTAGGGTATGCCCAGAACCCAAGAAAGCAATATGTGTGAGACTCGGGCCTTCGGTGGTGTGAGGCTCTGGGTTTCGGGTTTGCGCTTCCCTGAGCTCTGAACCCCAAACCCCAAATCCTAAACCCTAAACCTTAAACCCGAAACCCTAAACCCTAAACCCTAACCCCAAATCCCAAGCCTAAACCCTAAACCTAAATCCTAAGCCCTAAACCCTGAACCCAAATAAATCCCGTCTCATGCGAGGAAGGCAGCACTTCGGCTAGCGCTGTCAAACTGCTGGGATGGGCAGTTCTGCAAGCTATCCTTCACGCCTGTAAACCCTAAACCCTCCTTAGACCCAAAAACCTAAGCCCTAAACGCTAAAAAATCAGGGTTTTGGGTTTTCAGGTTGAGGGGTTTTTAGGTTTAGGGCGTAGGGTTTCCGAAATTCCTACACCCTAAACCCCCAAACCCTAAACCCTGAGCCTTAAGTCCTGTAGGATCCCGATCCGCACTTCAAAACCCAAAGCCTCAAACCGACTGCGCAGAAAGCGGATCCTGACTGGCGGCCTGCAGAAAACTCGGCCTCTGTGCGCCCTCCTGCCTCCGACACACCTATGTAGCCCCGAACCCTTAGACCCTAAACCCTGAACCTTACATCCTACACCCTACCCCCTCAAGGCTAAACCATAAACCATTCTGAAGTCTCCTGAAGCTGTGTTACAAACAAAGAAGCAACCTAACAGAGAGACGGAGGGTTCGTAGGTTTAGGGTTTAGGTTTAGGGCTTAGGGTTTAGGGTTCAGGGTTTAGAGTTTAGGGTTTAGGGCTGTTACTTGGAGGTGTGAGGCATTCGCTAAGCTGACAGTCAACCGGGACAAGCCCAGCGAGGGTCCCGCTTAGAACTTGCCCCTAACCAGGACCAACCAGGGTGTCGGGGTCTTAGGAGTAATCAAGAGTTTCGGGTTTAGGATTAAGGGTTTTGGGCTTAGGTTTAGAGGTAGGCCCTGCGGATATTTTAAACCCCCTTATTGGCCCTATGAGGATCATGTTTAGCAAGATTCCTCAGAGGGCCATCCTAGAATTAAGCCTCCAAGAAGGAGCAAAGGGCCAATCCCCTCGACCACCCATCTTAGAAGGCACCCAGAAAACAAGAGGGGTCTACTTAGGGGCTGGGGGTTCAGGGCTTTAGGCTACATGTCCCCTACTTACCCTATACACCCTATATACCCTACAACCCCGAAATACCCTACACGCCTTAAATGCCTTTTATATCTTCCACCCTCAGAGCCAAACAGGAAAGGGGGGTGGGGGTCAGACCCGAAATCACCTCAACGTGTGGTGCCTCCAAGCGATCGCTGCCTGGCTTGGCTCCAGCCCCCAGCCCCGGTGGTACAAGGTTTAGGGTTTAGGGTTTAGGGTTTAGGCTTAGGGTTTCGGGTTTAGGGTTTAGGGTTCGGTTGCCCTTTGTTGGGTTCCGGGCTCCCTTCTAGAATTTCCCCAACACGAAAAGCAGACCCTGAATGTAGTATTTTAATGGGGGCGATATACCGGTCACGGGGCTATGTGAAGTAGGGTATATACACTCACCAACATTAAACAGGAACCTTATATACACTCACCAGAAACAGTAATGTAAACCCTACTTCATATACCCAAAACTTACCTGCACTCTTCTTCTGCTATCATGAGAGCGTACTATGTGTGGTGTTAATCAAGTATTCAATAGTTGTACCAAAATACATCGGTCTTCGTATGTGTTTTACATGTAGTTTGTCCCTGCACTCAAGTTCTATCATGTTGACCTTCTCATGAGGAGAGCATCGGCACGGTTGAGTGGATGAACCCTTCGTTCTAGAAACTTACCTTGCAAGGCAAGTGTTCAGAGGTTTAGGCTGTAGGGTTTAGGGTATAGGGTTTCGGGTTTAGGGTTCAGAGTCATGTTGAACATGTTGATTGCGGGAGCTGCAGACGATCCCCTGCGCGGCTTTTGGCGCGAAGTGGAGACCGACCAGATATTTGGACGCAGAGAGTAGGCCCTTTTTTCCTTTTTTAGGGGTTTAGGGTTTAGGGTTTAGGGTGTAGGATTTAGGGTTTAGGGTTTCGGGTCTGTTTTAATTTCTAGGTTACTCCTGGGTCTAGGATATACGATGTTTTGGCGGCGCCGCCGTCCAACAATGGCGTGCAGTGGTTTGTGAGAGCCGAGCGTGGAGGTCGTGGGCGATGTGTCTTTCACATATCTGAAGGGAGTTCTGGTCACACGATGCATCCGACGGCTGATCTCCAGCCGTTCGAAGAAGAGCCGTATCACCTGCAGAACGCCGCCGGATCCGTAAAGGTTGCTCGGGTCGCCCTGGTACTGTTTTTTGGGATCAGGTTCCACTTTCAGTCTCACTCAACTTCACAACATCAACAGCCTCAGACAGGATTAGTGTATGTTATGCATTGTAAAAGCATAGCATATGCAGAGTATATGCATAGTATATGTATGTCTTCTGTAGAGGTCCTTTCTAGGGCCCCGGTTGTTTCCCAGGTCTGGCAGAACTGCCAGAAGACGCGAACCTGGCATAGGCCCTGGACATCCATAAAGATGTGGAGCACCACGCTGGTGCAACTCATGTACGAAGTTGTAGCTTGGTGTTCACGGTTTAGGGTTCAGGGCTTTTCTTGGGTTGTAGAGGATCTTAGGAGCATCTTATGCACAGGGTTTCACGGGCCAAGCCAAGGAAAATGCCGCCCTTCGGCTAGTCATGTGCAAGATCACAGGCGAGGTGATTTCCAAGATTACCATCCCACCTGACACGAGATGGAAGGAGTTCTTAAGGGAGGGGGGTTCAAGGTGTCCTCCCTACTACTCCCAAAGGCTCCTTAAGCTTCCTTAAGGTTCCTTAGGTACCTAAACCCCCCATGAAACCCCCCTCCCTTAAGCACCCCACCATAGCTGGAAGGATGCCCGGATGCAGATGGCACCGGGTCTTCGGCACCTCCTCTCCAAGTCAAAGCTTGCCTTCGTCTCGCCCAGGGGAGAGCTTCTGACAACATCTGATGATGAGCGGTCCATTTCGGACATTCTCGGCTGCAGTGGCCTCCTGATGGAGGAGAAGTTGCAAATATCATCCTGAGCCATGTCCAGGCAGAGTCGAAGCAGGCCATCCCTGAATTTTTCTCCAAACACGGCGCTGATACTCCCTTGCATAGCCCTAAGTCAGACCAGAGTGTGGGGGGAGTAGCAGACGGGAGTTGCAAAGAAACTTGGTTCCCCCCCCAGCCCTTAAAGAACCTAACCCGCAGGAGGAAGGGAGTAGCCCTAAACCCTAAACCCTAAACCCTAAACCCAGAAGTAGACAACTCTAGGCCCTCCCGGGCCAAAGTGCCCACGAGGATGCGCAGGTGGCGGCCACCGTGGGCTTCAAACGTGCTAGGGTTCAGGGTTCAGGGTTTAGGGTTCAGGGTTTAGGGTTTGGGGTTAGCCAGGTTCTCTTGTTCAAGCTTAGAATCAAATGCCCTGATTGCCTGACAGGGTTGTATTCTTGCCTCCTTATGATGGTAGCGTAATGTCACCTCCTTAAGAAGGACCCAGTTTCGGGCGTCTTGGTTGAGTTGCATGCTCTTTTCCGGCTAAAGGATGTATGCTTAGCCAAGCCCTGCAGACCCTAATCCCCAAGTCGCTACAGCCTAACTGCCTAGACAGATCTACTTACACCCCTTTAGGGTTTGCATGAGACAAAGCCCCTCACTTTTCATCCCATCATTCACTCGAAATGAGCCGGACATGTTGCAATGGCTAAACCTAGACGCCCCACCCCCCCTCCATGAGCCGTGAACCCTACACCCCAAGGCACTCCGTAGAAACCTCCTAAACCCTAGACCCTAAACCCCAAACCCTAAACCCTAAGCTCTAAACCCTGTAAACCCTAAACCCTTGCTCGCCCTAGGCCTGCGGCAGGACGTGGATGGAAAGGTGCAGAATCGGGGGCATGGGCTTATAGCCCAAACCCTAAAAACCCAAACCCTAGACCCTAAACCCTAAACCCTAAACCGCGGTATTTGGGACCTAGGGCCGATTGGGGTCGCCAGGGAACCCTACATCCTGAATCCGTGGTTACAGGGTTCTACGCTGCTCGAAGCTTCGTGGTTAAGTAAGATGAAAGTATATTATATGAAGAATACCGAATGTTATCACATTAATGAAAAGCTAAGGAAAGATGACAATGTACACTTTAGAAGTCAATATAAAGTGCCGACGCCATCGTTGGCATTTTGCAAAGCTTTGCGGGCATTGCGCATGCTTCGTTTGTGCGAATTCCGTGGGCATTGTGCAACATTCGTGAGCATTGTGCAAAATGTCTTGGGCATTGTGCAGATTGTCGTGGGCATCGTGCACAATTTCGTGGGTATTGCGCAAAAACGCGTGCCTGCTGGGCAGGGTTAGGGTCGACTGGTCTCGGGCTGTAGGGTTTAGGTACTACTGGGCCTTGGGCTTAGGGTTTTGGGTTACTAGACCTTGGGCTTTAGGGTTTAAGCCCCTAAAGCCTAAATCCTATACCCCAAACTGCAGAAGCCCGATAAACGCCTCAAACGCCAAACCCCTAAACCCTAACTGCATAAAGCTTGTAAACCCAAACCCCAAACCCCTAACCCCTAAACTCCCTTAAAGCCCCTAAAGCCCTATGTGCAAGCCCTAGATGCCCGAAGCCCCCCAAACTGCCCAACCCCCAAACCCCCAAACCCTAAGCCCTAAACCCTAAACCCTACTAAGCCCTGTACACCCTAAACCCTAAACCCTAGACCCTGCAAAAGGCGCACCTCAACTCGGAGCGCCGCTCCCTGGCGGCGCTCGTGGACTCAGTGGAGCACGCCCGGATCTCAGGGGTTTAGGGTTTCGGGTTTAGGGTTTAGGGTTCAGGGCTTTTGGGGATTTTGGGGGGATGTAGTGTGTAGGGTTGATTGCGGTTTTGGGGTTTTGGTTTTGTGGTGCTTTGGGGTGTAGGGTTCAGGGCTGAGGGTGTAGGACTTCTTGTGGATGTGTCTTCGGCTAGGACCCAGAGTAGGCCTTTTATTCCCCTTTTGTAGGTTTAGGTTCCTCCATAAGCCCTTTAAACCAAAAGGGGTGCCCTTTTTGTTCCTAGGTTACTATTGGGTCACCCGAAACGGGTTCCGGACACGCCAAACGAAGGAATGGACCCACGCGGGCTGGCAGTACAAAGTGTCTGAGTCCAGATATCAACCCCAAAAACCCTAATTTTGGGTTTGGGTTTAATTTAGGGTTTACGGTTTAGGGTTTAGGGTTTAGGGTTTGTAAACCAAGCGCAAAAGCCATCAACACTTCGTTTGCCGCAACCCTGCGTGCCGGCATATCACAGACAAGAGACACTGGGCACGACAGCTCTCACGATCTTGGGCAAGGACGGGCCCTCAGCTCCAGATTGACAGTTGAAGTCTCACCGAATTTATGGCTTCACTATGGGGTCCCTGTCTTATGTAGGCCCCGGCTCCTCTCCCCCACCCTAAACCCTAAACCCTAAACCCTAAACCCTAAACCCTAAACCCTAAACCCTAAACCGTTGAGCAATCCTCCAAGGACTTGGCTGCGCTCCGCGAAGAGGCACGGCCACCAGCCGACGACTTGAGGAACAGTTACCCGATGGTTGGGGGGTTCAGGGTTTCGGGTTTAGGGTTTTAGGGTTCAGGGTTTCGGGTTTTAGGGTTTAGGGTTTAGGGTTTAGGGTTTCGGGTTTAGGGTTTTTAGGGTTTCGGGTTCAGGTTTGGGGTCTAGGGTTTGGGGTTCAGGGCCTTCTTTAAATTATTCCATAGCTTGCAGGAGTATTCAGGCTACGGCTACAGCGTGTTCTCCCCCTGTCTTCGGGAGGAATTGTAGGCAGCGCGTATCAGGAGGCTTTGGGCAGCACAGGACAAAAGTACCCATTCTTGCTGGCTTGACAGGCCCCTTTCTTATGCTTAGGACTGGGTAGGTAACCTTTAACATTTTTGCTTATATGGAATCCTACTACCTATAAACAGGTTAACCTTTTCTGGGCTAGGGTATTCAGCCCCTTTCTTCGGTTGGTTTGAGTTTCAGGTTCCGGGTTTCTTCAGCTTTTCATGTGTCTGCACTTCCGCTGGATTCCCCGCTTGGCGCCCATCAAAAGGCGGCAGGGTCAGTTGCAGTGGAGATAAGGCCCCGGTTGGAACCCTAAACCCTAAACCCTAAACCCTAAACCCTAAACCCTAAACCCTAAGCCCTAAACCCTAAACCCTAAACCCTAAACCCTAAAAGGACCCATAAGCTGCCCGAAACCCTAAACCCTTTTTCTTCCTGGGTTACTCTTGGGTCTGGTTTAGGGGCCAGGGTTTAAGGTAGAGCACCTTCAACCATAGAGTCCCAGGGCCCCCCCAAAAAAAACTGGAATCCAAAAAGGGTTCGGGGTTTAGGGTTTAGGGTTTAGGGTTTAGGGTTTAGGTTTGAAGCTCTGAGACCGAAGGCGCAAACACACCACGAGCTGTCCCAGGAAGAGATGGAGGCGGGTTTAGGGGGTTAGGAGGGTTGAGGGTTTAGGGTAAAGGTTCATGGGTAGCTATAAGTAGGGGTATAAGTAAGGTAACCTTTTTTTGCAACACTAAGGCACGACTACCCATGAACCTTCAGGTAGGGTTTCGGTGCACGAAATTCACCCGAATCGAAACCCCAGATCGATGCGACTATCTCCTAGAACCCTTGAACCCAAAGAACCCTAGAATGCCTAGGACCCTAACCCTAAACCCTAACCCCTAAACCCTAAACTCTAAACCCTAAACCCTAAACCCTAGACCCTAACCCTCAACTCTGCTCCGCAGCTCGTCTCCGCGGAGCTGGAGCTGGCTCTGCAGAACTGTCGTGACGAGTCGCGGTCAGGGACTTGGCTTTTCTGGTTCAGGTGTTTAGGGTTTAGGGTTGGGGCGGGGCTTTATTATTATTTGCATGGCCTCTACTATGACGGAAATGCTCGCCGGTAACGGGGCTTGTAACAGAAACTGTAACGGAAAGGAGCGGAGCTAAAGCGGATTTGTCGCGGAGCTGTAACGGAGCCGTATCGGAAGGCTGCAACGGATCGCTACCGGCTGCAGCGATGCTGTAACGGAAGCTGTAACGGAACTGTAACGGAGCTGTACAACTGAGCTGTAACGGGAGCTGTAACGGAGCTGTAAGGGAGGTGCAACGGAGCTGTAACGGAGCCGCATAACTGAGCTGCAGCTGTAACGGAGCTGTAACGGAGCTGCAACGGAGCTGCAATGGAGCTGTAACGGGCTGCAACGGAACTGTAACGGAAGCTGTAAAGGAGCTGTAACGGAGGTGCAACCGAGCTGTAGCGGAGCTCTAGCGGAAGGTGTGACGGTGATGTAACAAAGCTGTAATGGAGGGCCTACGGTGGGTAGCACAAATCCCATAGTAAATGATGGTAGAGCCCACCCCCAAGTTTAGGGTTTGGGCTTTAGGGTTTAGGGGTTTAGGGTTTGGGGTTTCGGGTTTAGGGTTAGGATTGAGGGTTTGAGAATTTGGAGAAAAGGGGGTGGTAGGGTATCATCTGAGTTTGGCCGTCATCAGAGGGTGGGGGTTTGGGGTTTCATTTCGGGTTCGTGTTCTGGGATTCATTCGCGGCTGTTCAGGGGTTTTGGGATTTTAGGGCTTTAGGGCTATTGCTTGGCTACAGATAGTCAAGGCATCGCAACCCGCAAAAGTTCGAATTGTTTCGTGGGTTGTTGGCATGTTTTGCTCTGTTCCTTTGCGAACGTTAGTCAAAATGAACTAACAGGGCGGGCGTGGCATTGAAGCTGTGACATGTGTGTGTGTGTGTGCGTTCAAGGCGTTCTGAGAGCCGTTGAGCTTCTTGGGCTTAAACGCTTTATAGACGACCCTAAACCCTAAACCCCAAATAAACCCGAAATAATCCCTGGTTTAGAGGTTTCCGCCAGTTTGGACGTTTGCTCGCAGGTAGTTCAAGTGAGTTTCAAGCACACCAAATAACAAGCACCGATGTCATACTAGGACTCCCTAAAGAAGCCTAGCTTAGACAACTGGCCAAATCATGAACCGAAGAGCCCTAAACCCTAAACCCCAAACCCCAAACCCCAAACCCTAAACCCT